TTCAACTATAGGATACATCCTAATTTCATTTATGTCAAAAATGTAGGAGGAAACATTCATCTTAAAATCAAAAAAATGTGAAGTGCCATCAGCTGGAGTTCCAAAAATCCACAACTGCTTTCCCACATATATTGAGCATAAATCTAGGCTATAACTACATACACAGGCTGAGCAATGAAACGGCAATCAACCCTGTTGTGTTCCCAGAACTTAACATGAATGATAACTGAAAGAGTTATCAGAGGCGTCCCTCCTCAACCTCTCAGTCAAACACCACATCAGACAAGGAATATCCACCATATGCCAGGCACAGTGTCTGGGTCCTATAAGGGAAAGTGTCTTAATTCCAGCCCTCAAGGATATGACTGACAAGTACTAAATAATCATACAACAAACAGAATGTAGTAATGTTATTAAATGGATATCAATAAAATATAGGGGTTCAGAAAAAGGAAAGATTAATATAGACTAACTGGAACAGGGACAGTTCCAGCATCAAGAAAACATCAGAGCTGTCTGGGCATCTGTAAGAGGTAAGGATCTATTTAAGAGAGGAAGGTATGAAGCAAGAGTAAATAAAAGGGAGGTGTTTCAGATTACATTAGTAGAAATCAAGTTGAACTAGATAGAGCAAAGACTGTATGTGGAAAAGCAGAATATAAAGCTAGAAATATAGTTTGGAGCCAACACATTTGGTAGTCAAGAAGGGCACTGAACATTTTTGAGCAAAGAAATGACATCATGAGGGAGACTGGAGAAGAATCCCTGAGTTGTTTGCAGATACCTACATATTAGTATGGAATACAGAAGGAAGGTCTAATTTAAGAGTTTTTATTTGGGGGTCATGAAGGACATCACAAAGAAAGAAAAAGCAGCAGCAACTACACAACAAAAGGAAGAAAACCAGGAAAGTGGGGAAAGAGTATGTAAGAAAAGAAAGAAATTAATACTGACCAGTTTCACAGCAAGATAGAATAAGAACTGAAACATAACCCCTAAGATTTAGATTATTGACCACCTGGCTAAAAGCAATATACATGGAATAGCAGGAATGGAGGTAGTATACACAGGGAGGTCAGAAAAGGATGCTTAGAGAAGATAGTTTTTGAGCTAAGAAGTTAACCAGATAAACAGGAAAAAACATCATGTGTAAGGAAAGAAACATAGTGTCTACAAAGAATAGGCTGGATCCAATACAAAGATATGTATCCTCAACAACAACCAAAAAAAACTACAAAAGTACACATAAGAAGGTTTTTAAATTTAATAAGCATGACTAATTTGTTACTTCACACAAATTGATCTTTTGCTTTAATTACAATGCTAACTTTTTAAGAAAAAGAACAATGCCAACCAAAAATCTGGCAAACACACTGCTCAGCAAAATTTGATGAAAAGGCATGCAAATAAGACACACCTTTTGTATGACCTCTTGCTAAAAGGAGCAACTTTAGGCCAGATGCGGTGGCTCACACCTGTCATCCCAACACTTTGAGAGGTCAAAGCAGGTGGATGGCTTGAAGCGAGGAGTTCGAGACCAGCCTGGCCAACATGGTGAAACCCTATCTCTACTAAAAATTTAAAAATCAGCCAGGTATGGTGGTATGTGCCTGTAGTCCCAGCTACTTGGGAGGCTGAGGCAGGAGAATCACTTGAACCCAGGAGGCAGAGATTGCAGTGAGCCAAGATGCCACCAATACACTCCACACTGGGTGACAGAGTGAGACCCCTTCTCAATCAATCAATGTAGCAACTTTATATATATATATATATCTGCTACATAAATTACTCTCCAATTCAGCAACAATCTGCTTAAACTAACTCTAGGCAACCAAGTTCAATCTCAAATTTCATTTTGATTCAATTCTTTTCCTAAAAAGGATTCCATATTTTATAATAGAAAGAGCCATTAAAAAACTCAAAATTTTGGCCGGGCACAGTGGCTCACGCCTATAATCCTAGCACTTTGGGAGGCCGAGGCGGGTGGATCACGAGGTCAAGAGATCGAGACCATCCTGGTCAACAAGGTGAAACCTCGTCTTTACGAAAAATACAAAAATTAGCTGGGCATGATGGTGCGTGCCTGTAGTCCCAGCTACTCGGGAGGCTGAGGCAGGAGAATTGCTTAAACCCAGGAGACGGAGGTTGTGGTGAGCCGAGATCGTGCCATTGCACTCCAGTCTGGTCAAAAAAAAAACAAAAAAAAACAAAAAAAAAAAACCCTCAAAATTTTCTTTATAATTAGGAATAGAGAAAATTGTTCAGTTTCTAAAATCCCACATCTCTGACTATATGCTGGGAGAAAGTATATAGTCTGACAGCTCAATAGACATGCATTTTTTTAAAATCTCACTGCATAATTGCAGATAAGACAAACGAGTAATCTAACAATTATGCCAAACTCAGATTGGACTCTATGTGTGAAAGTACCACATCCTCTAGCACTTTTTCCAAGGAAACTATCAGAACCATTTATTTTCAAGTGCATAATAGCAGAACTATCAGTTATGTGACATCCTATGAAAAGACAGACACAATTTCTAATTATATCCATTCTTTCATTTTAATTACTCTAGAGAGTGATTACATATTTAACTTGGCTATCTTTAAAAAATTAAGTTGCTTTAATGAAAGTAGTTTAGATAGCTACACTACCATACATCAATTAGAAAGTTAATCATTCTGCTTGTTCTCACAGAAAGATTTTAAAGGAGGTGGAGAGGTGGTGTTTCATGCTTTTTAAAAAGTTAATTAGAGAGCACCCAGAAAGGGCGATCATCTGAGAAATAAAGTTTATCAAAAATCCAAAATATGTAATCTTCACAGTGTCAAGAAACAGCAAGACTTTCTCTTTAATGAGTTTATTTATGTTCACTTTAAAAGAAAATCTTCAGTTCACTGGGTGATGTTGAGTTTTTGACACACTGCAAGACTTCACCGTGTAACAGAATATAAGACTTCACTCACTTGCTTAGTCTTGACTGCCTAACTGATGGCAGACTATTATCTAAACCATATTCCTACTCTAAAGGAAGTTTTCTATTTTACAATGATCTCGCTGTACACTTCACAGTCACACTCATCATTATAAAACATTCCAAAATCTTTTTTTTATAAGTTTTCAGTGTTTGAATTATCATAATCCTCCCCAAATTAATTACTAATAATCAAGGAAGGTTAAGTTGATACTTAATTTTTGGCCAAAACAGGTTCAATGGATCTCTCCTAGATGGATGGATAAGCTTAAGAATGCATCTTTAGGAGTCCTTGCCAGAGCAATCAGGCAAGAAGGAGAAATAAAAGACATACAAATAGGAAAAGAAGAAGTTATTCTCTCTTTGCAGACAATATGATTCTATACCTATAAAAACCATAAAGACTCCACCAAAACAATTTTGCAACTGATAAATGACTTCAGTAAAGTTTCAGAATACAAAATCGGTATATAAAAATCAGCATTTCTATACCTCTATAATGTTCAAGCTGAGGGTCAAATCAAGATCACAATCTCACTTACAACAGACACACACGCTAGTATCTAGGAATACATGTAATCAAGGAAGTGAAAGATCTCTACAAGGGAAACTATAAAATCACTGCTGAAAGAAGTCAGAGATGATACAAACAAGTGGAAAAACATTCCATGCTCATGAATTGGAAGAATGAGTATCACTAAAATGGCCACACTCACGGTGGCTCACACCTGTAATCCCAGCACTTTGGGAGGTCAAGATGGGCAGATCACCTGAGGTCAGGAGTTTGGACATCATGGTGAAACCCCATCTCTACTAAAAATACAAAAATTAGCCAGGCGTGCTAATACACACCTGTAATCCCAGCTACTCCGGAGGCTGAGGCAAGATAATTGCTTGAACCCAGGATGTGGAGATTGCAGTGAACAGAGATCATGCCACTGCACTCTAGCCTGGGTGACACAGCAAGGCTCCATTTCAAAAAAATAAAATAAAAATATCCATATTGACCAAAGCAAACTACAGATTCAAAGCTATGCCTATCAAACTACCAATGTCATTTTTCACAGAACTAGAAAAAACTATTCTAAAATATGGAACCCAGAAAAGTTCCCAAAGGATTGCCAAAGCAATCCTAAGCAAAAGGAAAAAGACTAGAAGCATCACATTATCCAACTTCAAAGTATACTATAAGGCCAAACAGTAACCAAAACAGCACGGTACTGGTACAAAACCAAACACAAAGACCAATGGAGTACAAAGAACCCAGAAATAAAGCTGCACACCTACAGGCATCTGATCTTCATGCAGTCAACAAAAATAAGCCATGAGGAAAGAACCCTCTATTCAACAAATGGTGCTGGGTTCGGCTACCTATATGCAGAAGAACAAAATTGGACCTCTACCTTTCACCATATACAAAAATTAACTCAAGATGTGTAAGATTTAAATACAAGACCACATACTATAAGAAGCCATTCTTCTATAGGACTGGTTTAGGAAACACCATTGTGGACATCAGCTTTGGAAAAGAATGTATGACTAAGTCTTCAAAAGCAATTATAACAGAAACAAAAATTGACAAGTAGGACCTAATTAAACTACCAACAGAGTAAAGACAATATAAGGAATGGGAGAATATATTCACAAATAGTGCATCTGACAAAGGTCTAATATCCAGAATCTGTAATGAACTTAAACAATTTAACAAGCAAAAAACAAATGACTCCAACAAAAAGTGGGCAAATATATGAACAGACACTCCTCAAAGACACCCCACAAGCAGGCAACTAACATATCAAAAAATGTTCCACATCACTAATCATCAGAGAAATACAAATCAAAACCACAATGTGACACAATCTCACACCAGTCAGAATGGCTTTTATTAAAAAGTCAGAAAAGAACAGATGCTGGCAAGGCTGCAGAAAAAAGGGAACGTTTATCCTGTTAGTGGGAATGTAACCTAGCTCAGCCACTGTGGAAAGCAGTTTGAAAATTTCTCAAAGAAATAAAAACAGAGCTACCATTTGACTCAGCAATGCCATTACTAGGCATATATCCAAAATAAAAGAAACTGTTCTATGAAAGAGACACATGCACTTGCATGTTTGTTGCATCACTATTCACAACAGCAAAAAAACATGGAACTAACCTAAGTGTCCTCAACAGTGGATTGGATAAAGAAAACATGAGGAGTGTGTGGAATACTATTCCACTCCTCATGGAATACTATTTATCCATAAAAAAGAACAAATCATATTCTTTACAGCAACATAGAAACAGCTGGAGGCTATTCTCCTAAGCAAATTAATGCAAAAAAAGAAAACCAAATAGCATTCAGATCATACTTATAAGTGGAGGCTAAACACTGGGCACTCATGAACATAAAGATGTCAATAGACACTGGAGACTATTAAGGGAGGGGAGAAAAGGAGGGGGGCAAGGGCTAGAAAATCATTGGGTACTATGCTCATTACCTGGGTGACTGGATCATTCCTATCTCAAATCTCAGCATTACACAATACACCCATGCAACAAACTTGCACATGTGTTCCTTGAATCTAAAATAAAAGTTGAAATTATTTTTAAAAAAGAATGTATTTCTGATTATCTGAAATTATTGCAAAATACATGTATACACATTTTTTTCAAAGAGGTTTTACAGGTTTCCTAAGTTAACTGTTTTATTCTATGAAAAGACCATGGAATAAACAAAACAAAGCAGCAAAAGTTTAAGTGAAAGCTTTATATTCAGACTACAAAGTTTCTTTGGTAAGAGTAGTGTGTTAAGCAAAGAGGTATTCGAGTAACTGTAATACTAGATAAGGTACATTCAGGACAAAGCCACTGTTTCTCTCTAAGTTAGGAAAACATCAGGAACGACTGAGAATTCCAAAATAGTTTGAATGAGGAAGGGGGAATAAGAGAAGAGTAAAATAGCATTGAGATTCTAAATGATAGAAGAATTCCAAGCAGAAGATAAAAGGAAACTGAACAAAACTTGCTAAATGAAGTTACATTAATCAGAATGTTCCACATGGCATTGAACTTCCCTCTATAACAGTTTTTGCTACCTTCCCCTAAAAGTTTATCAAGGGCAGACACTTACCTTAATAGTTTTTGTATCACGGACTCCAGTACAGTACTTGTCACATAGTTGTTACTCAACATTTCCTGAGTCAATAATGAAAATATGGGTTGGAAATAGGTGCAAGTTTTTTTTTAAATTATTAAACCAGAAGCTTTCAGTGGGTAGTAGCTACATGTCTAAATTTCCTTCACCCACTTGAGAGAGATATATAAAGACCTTGAAATGTTTCAGGAGAAAAACGATTCATGAACAATTCTTCCTTATTTAAAAAAAAACTAAACAACAATAGAAGGGAGTAGAAAAAGAACCTGATCTTCTTTCATGGAAATATGGATTTAAAAATAAACAAAAAAAGAACCTAATTGGCCAGGCACAGTGGCTCACGCCTATAATCCCAGCACTTTGGGAGGCCGAGGCGGGTGGATCACAAGGACAAGAGATCAAGACCATCCTGGTCAACATAGTGAAACCCCGTCTCTACTAAAAATACAAAAAAATTAGCTAGGCATGGTGGCACACGCCTGTATTCTCAGGTACTCGGGAGGCTGAGGGAGGAGAATTGCTTGAACCCAGGAGGCGGAGGTTGCGGTGAGCCGAGATCGCACCACTGCACTCCAGCCTGGGTAACAAGACCGAAACTCTGTCTTTAAAAAAAAAAAAAAGAACCTAATCTTCCTAAAGTGAACTAAAATTTATATATTTCAATCTCCAATAATTGAAGGCAAGAACTTTGTTCTTACAGACTATCTCAGGCAGCAGTTTAAAAGGGGGGTCTACAATGTTTTCCCCTTTAACTTTTGATTTTAAAATAATTTTACACTTACATAAAAGTTGCAGTAACAGTACCGAGGATTCCTATCTATCTTTCACTCAGCTTACCTTAATATTGACATCACCATAATAATACATAGAAACCATCTAGGTTCCTGCCTCCCTAGTCTCCTCCTATCTGTGATAATCCCTAAATCTTTCCTTGTTTGACACTTGATACTTTTGAAGAGTAATGATCAGTGATTTAGGTAGGTTTCTTACCTAAATAACGAGTTTTTTCTGTTCCACAGGGTAAAGAATGTATTTAGATGTCCTGCTTCCTTAGCCTCCTTCAATCTGTCAATCTGTGACCCAACATGCTCCCGCCCCCAAGGGCAGGTTACTGCTATTCCCTTTCCCCAGGTGTAAAGGGTTTTCACCAAAGCCCTAAAGGTAAGGTCATTGTTTTGTCCTTTCCCCTGATTTCATTCAGTAGAAGGCGAAAGGACAACAGGAAAGAAGGGTCCTGCTAGAGTTTCTTACTCTATCTTTAGCAGCTGCTCTTCTAGAGACAAAGAATGCATTCTCAGGAATCTCACCTGTCTTTTGGGGGAGCTCCTGGTAGAGCTTTTGGAGAAAAAGCCTGCAGGTGGGTATGAACTCCCCTCAGCCACAGTTCCCAGGGACTTCACACTTTCTTGCCAGCCCACACAGAGCATCCATCAATATGTTTAACTATTCCAGCTGAATGCTTACCAGTGTCCAGCTGTGGGTGCCCAGGTAAGCAAGTGCTCATGTCTTTCCCTGCATCTGTTTCTTCTTAGACTTCAAGCTAGCCAGTTGCCCTACAATCTCAGCAATCTGATGGGTTAAAGGCAAAAAGTCATGAACTTGCAGTTGTCCAGATGTTTCTGTATGTTTAGTCTTGCTTTTAAGATTAGAAGCCATGCTCTTTCTGTTCAGTTTTGTTTTTATTTAATGCCTGAATTTGCTTAAAGATAACACTATGAAACAAATTTAAAGTTTACTGAAAAAGCAACTTAAAAGCAGAATTCCAAATTCCAAATTAAAATATTTGAATATAATTTTTAATCTTAAAACCTAATTAGTTTTGACTGTTGATCAATGTGATTTTTTCCAGCTGTTGTTATATCATCAAGAAAACTCTCATTTCCATAACAATAAAATTCAAAACTGAATTGCAATAATGCATGTGGACATAAATGAGAATGTGACCTAATAAAAAACACTAACAGCTGACAATGATTTCTTAAAAGCATTTGCTTCATGTTTGTCAGAATGTTGGGAGAATACCAATTACGTATTCATAGTTCTCTTAATTTTGTTTTATAAAATATTTTCTCAAATCTCTTGGGAGATTGCTATAGAGTTAAAGCTATCTTAAGATCAAAGATCAAACAGAGGGAAAAAAAACCTATAATTCTCTACAGCAGCTCATTGATCTTTCCCATCTGCTATGCAAAAAAAGGAGATGTATGTTAAGTTTGAAAAAAGAAAATCTTTTTAACTAGGAATGACAGCATACTGATTCTGGCAAACATTCAGGGGGAATTTTTATATAACAGATCCAACTCCCTTTTGCCAAAATATAAATGATGTCAACAATAGGAAAATAAAATCTAGTCAGTAGTTTCTGATTTACATATTTCTTCCTGCAAATATATCATATGATCAGATTTCTATTATAAAACCACACACAGTAAAATAAATTTTCCACCATCAAGAGGACTTTATAAGCACAGGCTTAGTTAGTGGTCAATGATAAAAGACAACTGGAGTAAGGCACTGCAAAATGAAGTCAACTCAGGCCTAGAGGAATTAGTTTCCTGGTACTCATCCCTCCCTTGTATCCTTAAGGGACTGATTCCAGGACACCAACACCCTCCGTGGCCCGCAGCATGGATACCAAAATCCATGGATGCTTAAGTTCCTTTTATAAAATGGCATAGTATTTGCCTATAACCTATGCATATCCTCTTGTATACTTTATATCATCCCTTGAATACTTACAACAGCGGTCTCCAACCTTGTTGGCACCAGGGACCAGTTTCATGGAAGACAACTTTTCCACAGATGCCCAGGGTTGGGGGAGGGAGGACAGGGGAGAGGGGATGGTTTTGGGATGAAACCACCAGATCATCAGGCAATAGTTTGATTCTCATAAAGAGTATGAGATCTAGTGAGATCTACTGTGTAACCTAGATCCCTCATATGCACAGTTCACAATAGGGTTCATGCTCATGTGAGAATCTAATGCCACAGCTGATCTGATAGGAGACAGAGCTCAGGCAATAATGCTTGTTCACCCCCCCACTCACTTCCTACTGTGCAGTCTGGTTCCTAACAAGCGATAGTGTGGTACCATTCCTCAGCCCAGGCATTAGGGACCCCTAACTATGCTATGTAAATAGTTGCTATACTGTATTGTTTTTACTTGTATTTTTTTTTTGTCACATTATTTTCAGTGGTTTTTCCAAAGTTTTTATAATTTTTTTTACAGACAAGGTCTTGCTATTGGCTGGCTCCAAACTCCTGGGCTCAAGCAATCCTCCATTTAAGCCTCCCTAGGAGCTGGGACTACACGCAAACACCACCACACTGAGTCCAAATATTTTCAATCCAAGCTTGGCTGCATCCACAGATGTGAAAAACATGGACACAAAGGACTGACTGTATAGTCCAACGATTCATGTTTCCACAGACTATATGTAAAAGCCTAGAGGCCTTCTCATGTATCTTCACCTTGGAAACAATAAAAGAAAATTCCCAGGATGCAAATGACATGCCCCATTTTTTAGAACAGAAACAGCACATTTTGTCTCCTGAGACAAATGTTCACAGGCACACCAACAATTATCTTTGGTATCCCTCCAAGTATTTCAGCATGGGGCTTGTTTCCTTCCTTAGTGTGCCTTTAGCTTCTCTCTCCTCTCACAATCACTGAATTGTACACTTAAAATGGGTGAATTTCGTGGACTATAAATGATACTTTAGTAAAGCTATTTTTAAAAAAGAATATTACTAGATCCAGTGTTACTATATTAACGGGCAAATGTACAAATAATTCCAATTTTCCTTCTTATAGACAGAAGTGTAGACAGGTCTCAAAAAAGATGTAGGTGGAAGGATGGGCACAGTGGTTCACGCCTGTAATCCCAGAATTTGAGGAGGCTGAGGCAGGTGGATCATCTGAGGTCAGGAGTTCAAAACCAGACTGGCCAATACAGTGAAACCCCATCTCTAACAAAAATACAAAAAGTAGCCGGGGATGCTGGTGTGCACCTGTAGTCCCAGCTACTCTGGAGGCTGAAGCAGGAGAAATGCTTGAATCCAGGAGGCAGAGGTTGCAGTGGGCCAAGATCACACCACTGCAGTCCAGCCTGGGCAACAGAGCAAGACTCTGTCTCCCCAAAAAAAAAAGATTTGGGGGATAGGCTGTTCAACAAATGGTATGCTGTGCCAACTCAATATCCACAAAGAATGAATTTGAACCCCTGCCTTGCCCCACGTATGAAACATAATTCAAAATGCATCGAAGAGCTAAATGTAAGAGGTAAAACTAGAAAACTTTTAAAAAGAAATGTAGATATAAATCTTCATGACATTAAATTAGACAACAGTTCCTTAAACATGGTTCCAGCCTGGGCAAGACTCCATCTCAAAAAAAAAAAAAAAAAAAAAAGATGTAGGGGAAAAGAACAGTCTTTTCAACAAATGGTATGCTGGGCCAACTCAATATCCACAAGCAAAGAATGAATTTGAACCCCTGTCTTGCCCCACATATGAAAATTAATTCAAAATGGATCAAATAACTAAATGTAAGAGGTAAAACTATAAAACTTTTAAAAGGAAATGTAGATATACATCTTCATGATATTAAATTAGACAATAGTTCCTTAAACATCATACTAAAAGCATAAGTAACAAAGGAAAAACTGATAAAGTGGACTTCATCAAAATTAAAAACTTTTGTACATCAAAGGTCGTTATCAAAAAAAGTGAACAAACAATCCACAGAATGGGAATAAATATTTGCAAATCATCTATGTAATAAACCTTGTTTCCAAATTTAAAAGAATTCTGACAATGCAACAATAATCAAGAAACACATAAACCAATTTAAAATGGGTAAAAATTTTGAACAATACTTCTCCAAAGAAGATATAAAATAGCCAACAAGCACATGAAAAGATGCTCATATCATTTGTCACTAGGGAAATGAAAATCAAAATCACAATTAGACCCAAACTTTAGACCCACTAGTATGGCTATAACAGCTTTTTTTTTTAGGGAAGTGTTGGTAGAGATGTAGAGAAATTAGAACCTTTGTATCCTATTGGTGATAATTGGTATAGCTACTGTGAAAAACAATTTGGCAGTCCTTTAAAAAAAAAAAAAGTATTACTATATGACCTAGCAATGACACTACCAGGTATATTCCCAAGAGATATAAAAACATGTCCACTCAAAAACTTGTTCACAAATGTTGATACCATTATTCATGATGGCCAAAAAATGGGGGCAAAATCCAAATATCTGCCAACTGATGAATGCATAACAAAATGTGGTGGTATAACTTTACAATGGAGGATTATATTATTCAGCCATAAAAAGAAATGAGGTACTAATACATGCTATGACATAGATGAACCTTGAAGCTATTATGCTAAGTGAAAGCAACCAATCATAAAAGACCACATATTTTGTGATTCCATTTATATGAAATGTTCAAAATAAGCAATTTGGTTGTCAGGCAATGAGACAGGCAGGAATTGGGAAGTACTGGATTTCTTTTGGCATGAGGGAAATGTAGAAATAGATAATGGTGATGCTTGCACAACACTGTGAGTATAATAAAAACTTAATCATATATCATAAAAGGGTTAAAATGGTAAATTTCATATTATGTAAATTGTATACTTTCTTCTAACATGAAATAAATGGAGTAAGTCATGATGGTAACCATGCTGCGGACTCTCCCAGAGCAGAATTCCCATCACCGTAACTCTTCTACAGAATCACAATACACACCTAGCCACAGAATTCGAGGTAAACCACTGTCAAGGCTTTAAGTAGACAGGATTTGAGCAGAATTAGAAAGTGATAACCACGGGATATAAAAGGAGAGTCATGTATTTACTATTAAAAAATAGAGCCAAGGCCGGGCGCGGTGGCTCACGCCTGTAATCCCAGCACATTAAGTGGGAGGCCGAGGCGGGTGGATCACGAGGTCAAGAGATCGAGACCATCCTGGTCAACATGGTGAAACCCCTCCTCTACTAAAAATACAAAAAATTAGCTGGGCATGGTGGCGCGTGCCTGTAATCCCAGCTACTCAGGAGGTTGAGGCAGGAGAATTGCCTGAACCCAGGAGGCGGAGGTTGCGGTGAGCCGCGATCGCGCCATGGCACTCCAGCCTGGATAACAAGAGCGAAACTCCGTCTCAAAAAAAAAAAAAAAAAATAGAGCCAGAACTGCATTTGGATGGCCAGCAGTGGCAGTGGGGAGAACCTATACACTGTCAGTGCCACACGGAGATGGAAGAAGGCAAAAAATTCCCTCAATTATCTAAACTTTTTATTTAAGTTAATTTACATTTAAAAAGCTACAGGAGGCTAGTGGCTACAATACGTAACATAACAAGGTAACACTCTACACTTTTTGTTTTACAAACATCAAGCTGTGGTTCATTTTTGTTATTCACAGAACATTCTGAAGACCCAACTCACCGTTATTACTATGGTCACAGGAAGCAAAGATCTTTGCAGAGTTCTCCTTCACATATGAAAATCATCTTTATATATCACTAGTATCAAAAGACAAATACAATGAATAAGTCTACAGATTTAAGACTAAAATAATTAACCCAGAAAAACAAAAAAAAAAAATCAACAGCTTTCACTAATTATAAGCAAACAAGGCTGTGGAAAATACAGAGAAAACAAAAGACCTCTTGCACACAGAGAATCAATTGATAGTTAAGGCCTTAATACAGTGTTAGGTTGTAAGTCACTACATCTAGTAGAACTTTTCCACAATAAAGTTTTTAAAATGGAAAAATTTTCCCACAAAATGAGTTGGGAACCATTTGTCTAAATCAAAAATATGTCTTGAAAAAGTAAAAGTATAGCATAAGAAATGAAATGATATGGCCCCAAAACAGTGTTCATGGTTACACTGGGAAATGCTGGATTAAAAAGACATAAAATGGCTTTACTCAGAGAAATTTTTACATAACCCTTAATAAGCTAATGTTCATTGTTAATTTTCAAGAGGGAGATTATGGAAAGTTTATAAAACCTATCTGATCAATAATCATAGAAAATAAAGGTCTAATCAGTATTTCTCAGGTTTGTGTGATTATATTAACAAGAATCACCCTAGGGTACTTTTTAAATATACAGGTTTTCAGGATCCTACCCCAGAGATTCTGATTTAACATGTCTAGGACAGAGAATCTTATTCTAGGTAAGTTTTATGGTCCAGAAAGTTTGGGAAACACTGGTCTAGGTCATTCGGAGTAACCAAGATAAAACTGAAAACCATATAGACACATACAAACTTAATTGATCATCACACATACACACAATCAGAGTGAATTTTAAAAAAACAAATAACCATGTGTCAGCATGGACATAGAAAAATTGGAATCTTCATGCATTGTTGGTGGGAATGTAAAATGGTGCAGCCATTTTGGAAAACAGAATGATGATCTCTAAAAAAATTAAAAATAGAATTACCATATGATGCAGCAATTCCATTTCTGGGAATATTACCAAAAGAACTGAAAGTAGGTTCTCAAACAGGTATTTGTGAACCCAGGCTCACAGCTGCACTATTCACAACAGCCACATGGTGGAAGCAACCAAGTGTCCACTGATAGACGAACAGCTAAACAAAACACTGTATATGTATTATGGAATATTATTCAGCCCTAAAAAGGAAGAAAATTCTGACATATGCTACAACACAGATGAAGTTTGAGGACATTATGCTAATTGAAATAAGCCAGTCACAAAAGGATAAATACTATATGATTCCACTTATATGAGGCAAATAGAGTAGTCAAACTCAGAGAGACAGAACTTGGGAGAACAGGAAGCTATTGTGTAATAGGTACAGAGTTTCAGATTTGCAAGATGAAAAGAGTTCTGGAAATGAATGGTGGTAAAGGTTGCACAACAATGTGAATGTACTTATGCCACTGAACTAGATGTTTAAAAATTGCTAAGATGGTAAATTTGATGTTATGTATATGTAACCAAAATTTTAAAATAAATTTAGAGAAAAACAGATTATTAGAGTTGTCTTGTTACACAGTCAGAGACAGTGCTAGATACAGTGTGGAGCCTCCTGACTACCAGGCCAATGTCCTTATCACCACACCCTGTTACTAAGAATAGACAGCCAGGTATGGGTAGGCACACAAAGTCACAGGTCCAGCGTATACCAAGTCTAGGAAGATTTCATTTCTCCAGTTCTGCTCATTTGGAATTTATGATAACCCAAGGATAAACTTTAGTCCACTCAGATTATCTGTCTATAGAGAAAGCAATTAGAGAATGATTGAAAATGTATCATTAGATTAAAATTTAAAAAGCATGAACTGACATAGAATGTATAGGCCAGGCACAGCGGCTCATGCCTGTAATTTCAGCACTTTGGGAGGCCGAGGTGAGCAGATTGCCTGAGGTCAGGAATTTGAGGCCAGCCTGGCCAACATGGTGAAACCCTGTCTCTACTAAAAATACAAAAATTAGCCGGGCATGGTGGCGGACGCCTATAATCCCGGCTACTAGGAGGAAATGCTCGAACCCGGGAGGCAGAGGTTGCAATGAGCCAAGATTGCACCATTGCACTCCAGCCTAGATGACAAGAATAAAACTTCTTTAAAAAAAAAAAAAAGATACATAATCTACTTAATAAATCTAACTCCTTAGTACTTCTAGCACATTTATTATGCTTCTAGTCTGATAATATACAACTATCTTTTGTTTTCTTAAGAGTCAGTCTCTTGATGTTCAGGAAGGAAAAAAAATTAATAACTAAAAAAGTCAGAGTCTTACTCTGTCACCCAGGCTAGCATGCAGTGGTGTGATCACAGCTCACTGCAGCCTGGAACTCCTGGGCTCATGCAGTCCTCCCACCTCAGCCTCCAGAGTAGCTGGGACTACGAGTGCATGCTGCCACACCAGCTAATTTTTTTTTTTTTTTTTTTTTTTGCATAGACGGGCTGATGTGGTTTGGATTTGTCTCCCAAATCCCCAGTGTTGGAGAAGGCACCTGGTGGAAGGTGACTGGATCATGGAGGTGGATTTTCCCCTTGCTGTTCTCATGTTAGGGAGTTCTCACTGCATCTGGTTGTTTAACCTCTCTGTCTCTCCTGCTCCAGCTATGTATCTGCTTCCCTTTCACCTTCTACCATGATTCTAAGTTTCCTGAGCCCTCCCCAGCCACGCTTCCTGTACAGCCTGTGGAACTCTGAGGCAATTAAACCCCTTTTCTTTATAAACTACCCAGTCTCAGTTATTTCTTTATACAAGTGTGAGAACAAACTAATACAAAGAGTCTCTCTGTGTTGTCCAGGCTGGTCTCAAACTCCTGGCTTCAGTGATCCTCCAGCTTCAGCCTCCCAAAGCACAGAGATTACAGGTATGAGCCACCATGCCAAGCCTAAATTTAACTTCTTATAGCCCCAAATGGAATACAGCAGGTCTTTGAATACCATCATTTTGTTCAACATCATTTTGTTATGATGTTGATGAGGTAAAAATATAGACTCCAGCTGGAGCCACTGCTTTTGCAGTGTTTGCACACTCTCCTCAAGTCTGCATGGGTTTCCTCCAGGTACTCTGGTTTACAAATCCTACATTCCAAAGATGTGCATGTTTCATTCATTGGCTGGTCTAAATGATCCCAGTGTGAGTGACTGTGGGTGTGTCTGGGAGTGTGCCCTGCAACAGAATGACATCCTGTCCGGGATAAGTTCCTACCGGGACCCTGAGCTGCTGGGATGGGCTCCATCCACCTGCCACCCAGAACTAGAATAAGCAAGTTGGAAAATACATAAATACAAATTACTATAAAACAAAAATTCATCAATTCTATGATAATCATACAAATGCATGACAATAAACAATGAAAGATGAAAGTGGTCAGTATGTGGCCAGATTTGCCATCACTTGTTTTTTATCTATGTGGTGGTCAGAGATGCTCCTGAGAATTTTTGCTCTGCAAATGTTTATTCTTTTATTTAGCCCACTACCACTGCCTGACTTCACACACTGAATTAGGTAAATAATTATCTTACTTGTTTTGATTAATCTTTCTTAAATGTATGTATAACTCATTTACTTCAATATTCAACATTAGAAGTGTTTTTGGCCAGGCGTGGTAGCTCATGCCTGTAATCCCAGCACTTTGGGAGGTAGAGTTGGGCGGATCCCTGGAGCCTAGGAGTTCAAAACCAGCCTGTGCAACATGGCGAGACCACATCTCTACTAAAAATAAAAAAATTAACTGGGAGTGGTGGTGTGCCCCTGTAGTCCCAGCTACCAGGGAGGATGAGATGGGAGTATCACTTAAGCCTGGGAGGTCAACACTGCAGTGAGCCATGATTATACTACTGCACTCCAGCCTGGGTAACAACAGAGTGAGACCTTGTCTCAAAAAAAAAAAAAAAGCATTTTAGTTTTTTATAAACTTTATAAGTTTGGTGATACTTCTGTGATCAGAAATATGTCATAGGAACTTAACTCTTGTCTATATCCATTAGCCTATGGTAAAATTGGTTTCATTATAAGTCATTTTACTTCTACAAGAAGTTTTCAAAAATCTATTGATGATGTTAGGTGAGGACTTACTCTTCATGAGACATAATAAGGAAATAATCCCATCACCTAGAAAGAGAACCACGATTAAATCAATAAACACACACAAAAATAGGTGATTTCATTTTTCAAGACCTCAGATACCATTTGTAATCTATTTTTACGACTCAATGTGATTATTTGCCCCATGTCACTAAATATCATTAAAAATTAACATTAGCAAAACATACCTACCACAAATCGAGTACTTGTCATTTGACATGCACTACATTAGCACTTTGCAGAAGTTATTTCATGCTCACAAAAAGCCTGTCCGGAAGATATCATCCCTCCCATTATACTAATGAAAAACTACATATTAATATCTAATGATATTTAGGATCACAAACTAAATCATGATAGTATATATTTTTTAAATTATGAAGTCAAATTTACAGAAGTTGTTTTAGGCAGAAACTAATGACGTAGAAAGTCTCTCTCCAAATCTGTAAGTATACCTCTATGAAAAAAAAGTATTTGGGAACACAAATACTACGTTAAAATAAGTGTACAAACATATTTAAGGTGAAGTTGAGATCTTTGATGTAACTAAGAAGGAAAGCCTCATTTTCTACTACTATATAGGAGTAGAGAAGCATAATTAAAACAACCAGCAGCAGTACTGTGAGCTTTCACAGAAAGATAAAAGTTTACAAAATCCCTTTCATAATGCCCAGTCTCTAAGGATTGGAGCTTTCCCATCTGTGACCATCTTTCTGAATCTGCTGGTGTACCCCTTCTTTTGTATTTTCCTAAGAGGAAGAAATCCCTTCGTGAATGGAACAATAACCTCAGTGCCACATGTATAAGAGTATATTTGCCTACTGCTTGGTTTAAGGCCTTTGGGAATTATACACACCTGTTAGTGGGGAGAAACATGGTCCTCCAATCTGGTCACATTATGTAGAAGTAAATTATAGGTGACCCTTAATCTCTGTTTTGTGCCTCTCTACTTGCCCTGCCATTCATAAGTACCTACACATTTCAGACACACGAAGAGGAGCTTTTTATCCCTTTGAAAGAGCCGACTAGGAGGTTTACAAGAAGATCACTAATGAGTAATAGCGGTAAGTAAAATTCACTCCAAGCAAGTTCTTTCTTAGTCGTCATTTGTGTAAGTTTTCTTATGAAAGTACCAAAAAAATCTTTGTTTAAAGGTCATTTTACCTATGGAGTAAACTCATAATTTGTAACAACATTGCAAAACTTGTGGTTACACTGGCTTCAAGTTATCTTATTTCATACTGAAAAGACCCCTGAAAGGAAAGTACTGTCATTCACTATATTGAGGAGGCAAATTTAAAACCAGGAAACTGATGCTACCTATTACTAATGATCTCTATTTAACTTGGCCAGGTCACTCCTTTTCAGATTATCACTGGAGCTTTCAAATCTTCAAGGTATCAGAAAGCATTCTAGTGGCTCAACAAAGGCACTGAAACAAGGACAAAAAAAATGCCTTCACTGGCATTTTAGGGTCTAATGCCTGTATTTCCTTTTTTTTTTTTTTTTTTTTGATAGACTTTTGAGATGCAGTCTTACTCTGTCATCCTGGCCAGAGTGCAGTGGTATGATCTCAGCTCAGTGCAACCTCTTCCTCCCGGGTTCAAGAGATTCTCCTGCCTCAGCCTCCCAAGTAGCCAGGGCCACAGGTGTACACAACCACGCCCAGCTTATTTTTGCATTTTTAGTTCACCACCATGAACTATATCAGATAATAAGTGCTACAATGTGTAAGTACTACGGAAGCACAGTGGAGGTGTTATTGTAGTCATACCATGAAGTACCTTTTCTTCAGGGAAGGAAGGGGTGATGTGACAATCCATTAGAGGTATAGCACAGGCACAAAAATAATAAACCCTTATGGAAAAGTCTTCATTGAAAGACTACTGAGGCCAAGCACAGTGGCTCCCGACTGTAATACCGACACTGGGAGGCCAAGGTGGGCTGAGGTCAGGAGTTTGAGAGCAGCCTGACCACCTGGTGAAACCCCATCTCTACCAAAAATACAAAAATTAGCCAGGAGTGGTGGCACACACCTGTAATCCCAGCTACTCAGGAGGTGGAGGCAGGAGGACTACTTGAACCCAGGAGGTGGAGATTACAGTGAGCCAAGATCGCATCACTGCACTCCAGCCTGGGCAACAAGAGTGAAACTCCTTCTCCCAAAAAAAAAGAAAAGAAAAGAA